ATATTTACTGTAATGTTTTTATATATTAAAAGTGGTACCCTTTAATGAAAAAACAAAAGGGAAGGGAATACTCAATAGCTGAGGTGCTTGAAATTCTTTCAGGCAGGATTAGAGTAAATTAATCTATGCGACCTTTTTTTCGTATACCCGTTTCGATTTTATTACTCATCAGGATCTCTACCAGCTTACCCACAAATTAAAACTATTTTAGGCGGTATTGAGTAAATTAATATATGAGACTTTAGGCGTGGTCAAATATATCAATCGAAATAGTTTGACCTCCTGAATCCAAAACTGTAATTAGATATCAAATCGGTCAGGAGATGACGGAGCTATGAGCTAAAGGTTTGTACTTGAAACAAAACAAACAAACTCAGAGCTGCTATGCTGCGGCTAATAACTGTTTTTTTAAGAACTCCATTTTTTAGTACTACATTTAAAAATTACGTCAATAAAGATATAATCAAACCCTCACGTATAGTCCTAGTGAAAGTCGTGTTCTTGTTGTGAGGAGAGTACTTTTATTTAAAATTGTGTTCTATTATAAAGAAATGGTTGTTGTACAATCCGTAGTCATTTTTCTAATTGCTTGAATCTTGAATACCCAAAGTGTGATATTTGTGTTTGTGGCGCCATTCAATAAATGACGCCACATTGCATTTATTATTTCGGATATACACACATATACATGCTAAGTCCATTACAGTAGTGCTTCTAAAACTTTTACAGCTCGCGGTACACTTTTAATACCCCAAACTTTGTGCGGCACATGTAAATAATTTCGTATGGCAGGCCTAGTGACACTCCCTCTGACTAAGACAGTCAGAAATTACTGTTATACCGTGTATAAAATAGACAATAAATCAAATTAAAAAAATTATTAAATTAATAATAAATTTACATTACTAAATATAAATTACTTAATAATTGCAAAAATTACGCGTCACACTTGAGATCCTTCCGCGGCACACAGTTTGGGAAGTATTACATTATAGTAGGTTACAGCAGTACGAGAAAAGCAGTCAAGTACAGATAGCTGGTCTAATAAGATTCTTGTTTTCAAACTGTCTACTGGTGAAAAATTAACAAACAAAACTCTACTTGGAAGACTATTAATAAACTACCGAATATTAAATCACCTTTTTCTTTTACGTCTCTAGAACAAAAATATATTTAATTATTACATAATTCACTCGTCAACTGCCAAAATGTTTCATTCAGTTAATAATGATTAGCAGTTGAAGAAAGAGAGAGAGGAAAAAAAGGATTTTAATATTCATTTGTCAGGATCGTGCTTTATCAAATTCTCCAAATGACATCACTGTTTTAAACATTTTCAAGATTTAATACTTGTAAGTAAAAAATATTTTCTCTGGAAATGTTACCATTGAATTATGCTCAAGTAACTGAAGATAAATAAAATATCTGAGCAGAATCCTACGAAACGTTATCATTGCAAGTGTACCTTAACAATAATAACAACATTTCCCCAATTAGAAATATCATTAAAACTGCCCAGTGACGTGATCAGGAATATAAGTTTGACCACTATTGAGGGGGGCATATTAAACATACACAAATAACCTCCTTATATATAAACTATATCAACGCACGCGTGTCCATCACGTGCACAAGAATAAACAGTATTACACTCATCAAAAATCACCGATTCCGTGCGTACAGAGTTTTTAGTAGGGGGGGGGGAGGTCCTGCTTGCAACCTTGTGCACGCCCCTGTAAACCTTGGTATTAGTAACTATGGTAACATAATTGATCTATGTAACTTTTTTCCCTGACATTTAAAGACGCCATCGTGATATAGGCTTAAGTTTTCCAGGTTAGACGTGACACGACTGACGTTTAATCCAGCTTCATATTCATAAAGGTTTTCCAAGCTTATCGTGTCTTAGAGGCTTTATTGAAAGAATCCTATGTTGTGGGTACAAAAATTGATGGATAACGTGAGGTGTTTCGTGAATTCTGTCTTCATAGTTATTTCTTGTAAATAAAGACTGTTTTTCCCACTTACCTTAACGTGTTATAACTTTTATGATACCTGTTTACAATAACGTGTTCATATCGAGTCCTTCATGTCTGGATTTTTGTTTTGACATCGTCACAACATTATTTGAACTTTGAAGAAAAAAAATTTTACACAACATTTATTAGGGGGCAATATTTAACAAAGAGGTCGAAACGATAACGATGGAGTTACATCGTCACAACATTATTTGAACTTTGAAGAAAAAAAATTTACACAACATTTATTAGGGGGCAATATTTAACAAAGAGGTCGAAACGATAACGATGGAGTTACATCGTCACAACATTATTTGAACTTTGAAGAAAATAATTTTACACAACATTTATTAGGGGGCAATATTTAACAAAGAGGTCGAAACGATAACGATGGAGTTACATCGTCACAACATTATTTGAACTTTGAAGAAAATAATTTTACTAAACATTTATTAGGGGGCAATATTTAACAAAGAGGTCGAAACGATAACGATGGAGTTACATCGTCACAACATTATTTGAACTTTGAAGAAAAAAATTTTACACAACAATTATTAGGGGGCAATATTTAACAAAGAGGTCGAAACGATAACGATGGAGTTACATCGTCACAACTTTATTTGAACTTTGAAGAAAAAAATTTTACACAACAATTATTAGGGGGCAATATTTAACAAAGAGGTCGA